CGACCGAGCCGACCGAGCCGACCGAGCGCAGCCGACTGCGAACGCAGCCGATGCGGCCGCACCCCGGGGACGGCCCTGCTCCTCGGGACGGGTCGGCCTGCGGGGGCTCGGGCCCACTGGCGGGGCGGCGCACCCCGCAGGACGAGGGGCCCGAGGCATACGGGGCAAATCCGTGCGGAGTGCCCGGTCTCCGTCTGGGCCTGCTCCGTCTGGCCTTGGCCTCTCCTGAATCTCGGGGACGCTCTCGGTGAGGCGCGCCTGGCGGCAAGCATCGGGGCGAGAAAACCTTGGAGGTCCAACGAGAGGCCCCACGAACCTCGGACACCAGGACCCTCCAGGCGGAGGAGGCTCCCCCCTCCCCTGGCCCATCCTGGGGTGCGTCCTGAACACACCTGGGGGGGGCCCTGGCCTTGCCGTACAGCACCACCCAGCAGTCCTCCTTCGTGTTGTGCTTGGCCACCTCGCTGCGCGCAGCGACCCCCCGCAGGCCGCCGTGGCGGCAGGCCTGCACCGAAGAAGGCACTGCTCTGCACACATGTATTGGAAGCCAAGCCCGACCCCAAGCACGGATACGCTCCCAAAGCCTCGCTTGTTGGAGCCAGACCCGGCCCTCATGGCCAGGGGGCTGACCTCGGGGCGAACCCAACGCACCTCGCTGCGGCTGCTGCCTCAGGGCTCGGCGCACGCTCCCAGTCTGGGCCCGCTCTCCGCAGCTTGACTCCGCCGTGCCGCCGCGCGCACGGCCGCGACGCTACAAGCTGCCGCGGGGGGGGAGCAGCTCACCGGCTTCCCCGAAAAAATCCCCCTTCCCCAGGACCTCCAACACCGCACGGGAGGAAGGTGTGGCACACTGCGCTGCCTTGCTGGAGCCAGATCTGGCCTCCGCAGGAACGTAAGTGTTCCTCTCGTGGACGGGGCGGGGGGCCGGGGGGGGGGGGGGGAAAGGTACCAATGCCGCTGCTCCCCGACTTCTAGCCGACAGCATTTCGACCGGACTTTCGCGGAGGCTCCAACCGTGGTGACGAAGACTCTGCAGGACGAGCATCGTCATGGGAGCGGTGCGGACGAGGCCGCCAGACGCCCTCGCAAGAAACCCAGCACTGAGAACCAGCGCGTGCGATGCACCTGGGGTGGGAAAGCTTTGAGCACCCTGGACGCAGCAACACCTCTTACGACCGCGGGAAACCGCCGCGCAGCAAGGAGCGAAGAAGACCAGGGTATCCTGCCGACAAGCATCCAGCTTCTTTGATGGGCCGATTTTCCGCCACACCTACCATAGGGAGGAGAGGGAGGAGGAGGAGGAGGAGGAGGAGGAGGAGGAGGAGGAGGAGGAGGAGGAGGAGGAGGAGGAGGAGGAGGAGGAGGAGGAGGAGGAGGAGGAGGAGGAGGAGGAGGAGGAGGAGGAGGAGAGGCGGAGGGGGAGGGAGGAGGGAGGAGGAGGAGGAGGAGGGGGAGGAGCAGCAGCAGGAGGAGGAGGAGGAGGAGGAGGAGGAGGAGGAGGAGGACCTCCCCGTGCTCCCTTCTCCCTCGTCCTACCTAAAGTAGTCGTGGTTGAAAATTGGCCCACCATTCTTGATGCACGTCCCCACCATACCCCTTCTTCCTCTTGGGGGCCGCGCGGATTTCTTGGATCGGCGCTAGACCCCCCTCCCAGGCGCGCAGAGCCTGCCAGGGGCGGCGCCGAAGCGCCGCCAAGAAGTCCCGGCTCCGATCCAAGAAATCCGCGCGGAGCTCGGAAAGTGTACGTTTATGCCTGACATGTCCCTTCGACATCTGCCACCGTGCCCTCTGGCAAGCTGAGGCGTGCTAGAATGCCAAGTGCTGCCTGGCAATGTTTCTGTAATCTTCTAAGGGTCCACCCCCCCTCTCGTCGCACTGCCCCGCGCGCATCGGCCTCTTTTCCCGAGGCTTCAATCCCTCGCAACATAACTCATATTCTCGTTCTCGAGGCCAAGATGCCTCCTAGACGACCCAAGATGACTCAAAAACTGCCCACTCTAGCCTCAAGACGGATCAAGATGGCCTCAAGACGGCCCAAGAGGGCTTTAAGACCGCCCAGTAAGGCTCTATGAGGACCCTCTGGAGGGCACGAAGAAGCACAGATGACATATGTTCCTTAGATGCTTGAACGTTTTTCGCGTCGGGCTTGCGTCAGCTCAAGACGGCCAAAGACGCCTCAAAGGTGGCCCCAAGACGGCCCAACGGAGCCTCAAATTTGCCCAACAGGCCTCCCAAAGCGGCCCAAGACGGCCCCAAGAAAGCCCCAAGCTGGCCCAAGAGGGCCTCTGGAATGCCGCCAAGGTCGCCAAGACGGCCCAAGATGGCTCCAACACGGCCGAGCTTGGCCTCAAGATGGCCTAAGATGATCCGATGGACGGCCCCAAGAGATCCCCCTGACGGCCACGAGAGCCCCCAGAGAGCCTCAGGACGGCAGAGGGCTGCAAGACGGCCCAAGAAGGCCCAGCGGACCCCAAAGGTGTCCCACAGGAACCCAGGACAG